AAAAATACATTTTTTTACTGTGGTAATTCTTGAAAGATTATTTCATTATAGAAAAAATTCCAGTCACCATTATCATATTATACATCAGTTAAAAAAAAGAAAAAAAATGAACAAAGGATGTTTAGGCTCAGAAGTACCATATCAGAAGTACCAATAAGATTTTGGTAAATTCTTCATTCAACAATGTTTCCTTACACTAAAATTATACATGGGACATAAAAAAACAAATCCTTGTGCTTTGCCTTGATAACTTTTAAACCTGGACGCCCTCAGAGCCACTTTCCTAATTTTCGGCAATACATTTCTCCAGTTTGCAAATATTATTTACAGATTGAGTATTTGTTAGTGTCTAAGAATGCAATTTACAGATTTTATATATATTTACATATATATACAAATTTTCTTAAGAATAAGGCCTTAATGGGTACTTTGGGGGAAATTCCTCGACTAAATTTGACTGAATATAAGCAACTTTCTACATATTTTCTTACAAATATGAGTAACTGAAAGAGTGTTACATTTAAAGACTAGACTATAAAATAATGCGCATCTGAGAGATCACTCCACTGAACGAGGAAAAAGAATGACATAGAATACACATCTCGTCTTCAAAAGAGAAAGGGGAAAAATTGAGTAGTTTCATCCTTTTAAACACTGTTAGAAGGCCAATACAAGATGCAACAATTCTCAAATGTGCCCCCAGAACAACTACAGGAAGAAGAGCTTTCACGACACACAAGACAACATAAGATCAACCGTGTATTTCTATATAAATCAAGTTGATCATTACCTTTGCTTTGAAACTGGTTATACAGAGACAAAAGAGGATTTATATTTACACATTTTGGGCAAAATTGGGATGAAAAGAGAAGGAAAATATATAAATATTCTTTTTTTAATTTGCAGTCACAGAAATAAGATGACGTAACTGCATGTTATGTGGAAAAAACAAAACCTTCATAAGGCACACAGTGACTGGACAGTACAAAAAAAAGAAAAGAAAAAAAAAAACAAAGGCGAAAAAAAGGGTAATGTTAGAAAAATATACACTTACAGATATGTTTAAATATCAAACATGTTGCATTAGCAGAGACAATGGGAAATGGGTGGTTTGTGTTCCTTTTTTCCACACAAATTTTACATATACCAAGACTTTGCAAACTTTTAACAATAATGCCCAGACTCTGGGAATGATATATATAAAATAAATTCAAAATCTTAATATAAAAAAAATAATAATATTATTATCAGTGACTGATAGTTTTCAATATAACACAAATCATCACATACACAGTGAAAAATATTCTCAATTCTTATAGCTCCACAAGGCATTAAGAATCAATTTCCACATTAAGACATCACAGAACTGGCAACACTGGAGAGAACTTGGTGGGGCAGGATGGCAATTCCTTCTTTGACCCCCTTCAATCAGTGTTGCCAAATAGGACTCTAGTGGCAGTTTTCATATGTTCTGGGCAACCTAACAAGACCAGGAATTTGATATAACCTGTGCGTAATCACCAAGTACATATGCAAGACTTAGACTTTGTTTTTCTGCAAGGAAATCTAAAAAATCATACCAATTATTTTTCTCTCTCTTGATAATCAAACCATAATTCTGATTTCATATACATGTAGTGCGATAAGTTCACATCAGGTCATACAACATTTGAAATAAATAAATTACACATATAATACGCATCAGATCCATCATTGATAAAACAATATCTGCTTTAATAATAAACTGGAGGAAAATTTCCAGATATATAATTTTCTCTTTTTTTTTTTGTTCTTTTTCATCAACATATATTTTTCTTTTCCTAAAAAAATGACTACAACTCCATAAAAGTTGTGCCTATGACATGACAAAACCTCACAATGATTTAACGAAGATTCGGCCTTCTCTAAACCGCACGCTTTCTAGAGCTGGAAGGCATACCATACCGAGGCACAGTGCAGAGATTCAGCCACTGCTCAGACCATCACTCCAGTCCTAAATAACAAGGCAAAAGTACTTATCAATCCATCCTCTGAAATATTCTCACTGTATTGGACCATCCTCATTCTCTTTTATATTTCCTCTTTTGTATTAGCTACAAAAAAAATAACATATATATATGTTAATATATATATATATATATGATTTATAACCTAAAAGGATCCACTCATATAAATCTAATACAGGCATCTAATAAAATATTTTGAAAATTTGTATCTTATGCTGAACTTCTTGATTGTCACTCATTAACTATATATATATGTTATAGCAGAAGATAATAATACCAAAACTTAAAAGAAAATCTATCAACAAATATTTAAACAAAAATTCTGGTATTACATGACCTCTGAAGACTTTATCTTGAATGCTTTATCTTTTCTGTAGGACTAATATACTGAGACTTCAGTCATCCTGGATGGGCAGTCCATTAAAAATCGTGTAAGTAGCAACTAATTTTAGCTGGAATGCTTTATACCTTTGTCCTGTGGTGAACAAACATTTGCTAGTCAAGTCCATGTCTATCAAAGAGTTATGCATGCATCACCCCTTCCTTTGAATCAGCTTCTGAGGAAAAACACTTTAAATTTGAAAAAAGTGGGTATCACTGGAAGCAACAATCTTTCCCAAAGGTGAGCTGAATGTTTATATCATTCTCTAAATCACTTGTCTCTTGTCAAAAAAGAAAAAGACAATCTCTTGACACTGCACTAGCCAGCCATAAGAAGACTTGACAGAAGATTTTGAAAATTGGAAAGATATTGCAATAATTTTTTTTCTTTGCATAAAATGCTTAAAATTCCATGTCATCCAAAGTACGGGAGAGTCTCACATTTTCATTACGTTTCCTCTGGCTTCTCCTTACTGCATCAGCTCGTCGGTATGGCTCATTTTTCAGGCCAATGAGGATATCCTCAAGTGCTCCATGGTAAACATCCTCTTGAGAAAGAAGGCGTTTATCTGCAACCACACCACGCGCCTTCATTTCACTCATCAGCGCCTCCTATAAATTGTTAAATCAAGTTAGAATGAATGGCCACAAAATAATGCAACATGTGTTGCCTATTTGTTCACGATCCAAACACACACACAGAGATTTAACTGCCCTTGGGAACCCTGTCATGGGAACCCTATGTCCTTTTGGAATTTAGTTCTCTGCTCACTGGCTCTGATAAGTTTCCTGGAAGCTGCAGGTATCACGTCAAATTAAATTATATATAAAACATTCATGGAAAAAATAACCAGGAAAAAGGGCTTTCTTTCCTACTCTCACCTTCATAAATTAATCATGAGACCTTAACCTTAATATGAAGTTGAACATCTAACTCATGATAATGAATTCTGAACCAGAACTGGTGATGACAATAACACTAAATAATTTGCTTTTTAAGGGGACTAAATATATAAAAAAGACAAAGTGAATGGACAATCATTTTAAGTACCTGTTTAAACAACCAGGAATGATGGGAAAGTTGAAACAGGGATGGCTGAAAGGATGATAAGGGGAAACACAGGGACCATGCTATGACAAGGGGGAATTCATGCATGAACAGGTTTCCACTGGGGTCTAGAATGTAAAATAGTAATGCCATCAGAGCTGAAGAAAAGAGCCTCTAGGGAAATTCACATTATTCAAATATTGAAAAGGCATCATGGGAAAAATAAATAAAGGGTCGTCAAGCAAGATATCTATGTAAAAGGAAGGTAGAGTAATGAAGAGTGAGAGAGAGAACAGAAAAATAGTTTGTAGTTATGAGATTATCATGCATCAAGTACACAACCTTATAAGGAAAATCTGGAAGGGCTTAACAGATGATATAAAAAATTACATAAGGCAAATACAGAAATGCAATTTTATAACTATAAAACAGAATATCTGTTCATCTCCTGATTATCCAAACACTTGGACATCCTCATTTTTATCCAGTATCATATATGAGGTCCCATTAGTGAAGAGATAGATCAATCAAAAAATACTCAATCTTACAAAAATTATGTTTCAAACTCCAAGCTTCTAATTCATTAATATTTCAGAAATATTTCTATTAATATTATGAATAGATCAAGCACAAGGTATCTAGTTCCATGAATTATTAGATTATTGTTTTTTTCATCTACTTGGAGGATAACCCCCCAATAAAAATTGTAATCAAACATAAATGTAATAAGTACTTTATCTAATTTTCTTTGCTTGCCTAAATGATAATTACTAGATACTAATACTCCTCCACTGGTGGTCTCATACTACTGTTACTAAATCTAGCCAACATACTGGAGTCCGAAACCATTTAATGTTGGCAATAATGCAAAAGCCTATCATCACTCATCATTTTAAAGAAAAAACTCTTTCAAAATCTGAGTACCTGATATTATGAAAGAGGTTACACAAAACACAAACCTGTAATGAACATATAGCTAAGCTATATATTTTGTATAGAATACAAGTAACCATATCCAAACCCAAAGTCATCTCAGACAGCAGTTACTATGAAGGCATATTACAGTCTAGTTGCAGAGATATAGTTGTAATTGGGTTTTTCAATGATTCTTTGCATTCTACTTACATGCAAAATTAAGGGCTAATAAAAGCTATAAGAGAAAAGTTAAATATCACTGCATTTTATGGGCTCTTTGGTAAGTGTTCAATTAACCAATTAACCTGATATGCCAGTAAACAGATTAGTTACACTGCAGTTATTTGGAAAAGAACCTTTAAACAATGAGCACTGATATTCACATGTTTGCTTATCAACTAAAAGCATTCCTTCATATGATGATTCAAAAAGGTTGGCAGGTTTGATATTTAGAACTTATTATATTGTCCTGGGCATGTATCAATGTTTGAGTGTTTATACGAATGACTATATGTGTGAGAGGAGAAAGGCAAGGGAAGGAAAGAGTGCAAAGGGAAGGTAGGGGAAGGAAGGCAGGGGAAGAAAAGAGTGCAAAGTGAAGGATGGGGAGGGAAGGCAGGGGAAGGAAAGAGTGCAAAGTGAAGGATGGGAAGGGAAGGCAGGGGAAGGAAGGAGTGCAAAGTGAAGGACGGGAAGGGAAGTTGGGGGGCTGAAGGAGGAAGATGGGGCAGAAAGGAGGAGTGGAATGGAGGAAAAAGGGAGAGAGAGAAATGAAGGGAAAATGGTGAGCACAACTGAACACTAGAGCATTAAAGAAAAATTAAGTTTCTTTATAATGGGTAATCAGCGTTCACAAACATGATTTATGTTGGATATTATATTTCTTTATACTTTACCAGTTGCAAATACAGTTCAGTCAAGTGAGCATACATCTTAACAAGATTCTTCACTTCTTCCATTATGGACAATTTTCCCAATCAGCAGGTGGAGCAGATGGCCTTCCTTGCTCAGGTAAAATTCAGTTTAACTTTGCAAATCTGAATCCTTTCTAATTTAAACATAATCTAAATTTAAAAGGGTTTTAGTTCACTGTATACAGATTTCTAATGCACCACTGTATCAAGTACAGCATGTTTTGAAACAAGCACAGACAATCATGTACCTGCATTTGCACAGAGCGTTGTATTCGCCTGGCGACCATGGGGTAAACAGACAGAGCATGTGGACGGATGTATCTCTTTTATACGCTTGTGATGCGGACTCCCATTCGGAATTTCTAAACCATGGCAAACCACATGTATTTAAATGACATTCATTACTGTCCTTCAAAAAGGATACCATGAGAAATAAGTATCTAAAATGAAAGGACATTCAGACATACCATTTGAAAAATGGAATAAAAGAGTAAAAATACAGTGAATTGCAAATAATTCACATTCTAGAACCCCCTCTGGAGTCCAATCAAAGAGACAAGCCCAGACTTTTGAAACATTAGGGTTTCAGCTCTTACTGCAGAGTAGTGCTCTTAATAGTTGTTTCATGAATACTTAGTTGATTGTATTCTATAGCTTTGGTCAGGAAAAGATGGAGAGAGAGCACTTTGTGTCAGTGTGAATGTTTTCATGCCTCTGGAATAAAATTCCATTAGGGCACAGAAAATCAAACCTTAACCTTTTGAGAATCTCATATAGCAAAAATCAAACACTGCAAATAAATATTTTCAATGTGACATCATCAGCAGACACTTTAGTTTCAGAGGAAGAAACACTCTTGATATAATCTATAAATCTGATTACCAAAAATTAAAAGAATTTCATCTTTCAGCATCTAATGCAATAAGAATTTTATCAAATCTATCAATAAGCAGAGTACTTGAAATTTGTAAACAAGAAAAATTAGTCTAAAATTATGACAATAAGTCGTCTTTTTTATAAGTATTAAAGTAACCTATTCATTATATCTATCAGCAGCTATTTCTCCTTAACCTTTTATCTGGATCTATAACACTGAAACTTTCAAAAGAGTAAATTTCCTAATCAAGGCAAAAGCCAATTCTCTGACCCTGATAACGTCACATAAAAAAATGCAGAGACAGGGTTAACAAAACAAAAAGGAAGTTAATACAGTAAGTTCATTAGACACACATTGAAAAAGAAATCAACCGTAAATATTACCTCTCCTCCGTAAGCCTGAAGAAAAAAAAATGGAAATCATGAGATAAGACATTCACTTTCAACTGAAATATTGTTTAATCATTCTAGCCTTAACCTATGCCACTTTGACACCTCTCAAGAATAATCAGTTTAAACAAGTAATTCACATAAGCAAATAAAATCCTAAAGACCAGGATATAACCTGTGTCAAAATGTATCATATAACATGACTAGTAAGATCTATATTTCTCTCTCAGTAAATTACTCATGTCCCTTTAGAGCAGTTCTTATACCAAAGTCTTTATTTAAAACATTCTACAAACTAAATTCTAATATACATCCTAGAAAACCAACAACCATTTTTCTTGCTCTTCATGAGTCTAAGTGCAATGAACAGTATCATATATATTTTTTTTTTCATTCCTTTTTTAACCCTTCAATATTAAAAAGTATCACCTAATAGCAGAAATAGCTAAAGCAAAATTAGAAAGAAACTAGCAAATTAAAATATAAATATTACCTTATTTTAGACTACACTGACCCATTGGAATATGGTCTTTAAATACTAGCTTCCGAATTCTCTAAATTCTAAGACTAACAGGGGTTTTCTATAGCAATATCACCATGTACAAATTAAGATACAAAATACACAAACAGACATTTGGACAGCTATGCACCCAAAGCCTAATTTAAAATATAACCTTAATTTTGTTACTTACAAGCACACACTAATAATGTTGTTATCTATATCATCTCTGTTATATCCAGCACTTTTGTCATCTGTACTATCTTTTGACTCATTAGAATTTAAAATGTCCTTAAAACCTAGTTAATTAAAATCTGATTCCTATATCAATAGGTATTGCCTGATCTAAACTATTTCATCAATCACAAATCAAAATATATTCAACTCATTATCGCTGGGATGTACATGCATGTTGTGTCCACTGTGAGTTTAGTTTATTTATCATATTTCCACATAGATGGTTCCATATGTACTTGCTCACTTAGGAGTCAATCACAAACTAGTGTTTTCCTTGATTTTCAGAAATCTTTATTCTTTACATGTTGCCATAGGTATTGTTAATAATATCATAATAATCATAATGTCAATATTAAAATGACAGCATCAATTTTGATACCATTAAAAAAAAAAACACTTTTTTCCACATATTTGAAGAAAGGAGAAATCAGGTGATGTCACATGGCCTACTAATTGACTCCTTGATGGCTTAGCACTTGTGGAGCCATCTATGTATAAACATATTTCACAAAACAAAAAACAGTGAACATTATACATTCATGACTACTTTGGGTTAAAATCTGATCTCTGTTTTAACAATTCTGTCAAAATTACGTCAGCAGCATAATCAATAATCAAGAACACAATAAGAACCCTGTCATTAAAAAGACAACAATCCTGTACTGTACTTGCACACTTCCTTATCCAAAGTTATAATTTAAGCACCCAGATCCTGAGTTTGCAAATAGCTGTATTAAAGTTTTCTTACTCTTTTAATTTACTCTTTCATTACAATTAATAAAAGCTACTTAATAAGCACACTTATCCCTTATAATAAACTCCCTAGTCATCAAAAAAGCCAATTTCAATTTCTAAAAAGCAACATATGTGAGCCAAACACTGACCTGTTGTTTACGTGCATTGATTTTGTTGTTTCTAACCACCTGCTGACTTTCTTGCTGTTGCTGCTGTTGCTTCTGTTGGTTCAGAGCTGCTGCTTTGGAGGCAGCCTCTAATCGGCGCCGCTGCTCATTCTCTTGCTCCACCATCTGTCATAGTTTTCAAATACCTTAGATTATGACCATCTGATACCCAAGCAGTGCCCCCTAAGCCTTTTTACTGGTACCTCTTTTGCCCTTCCTGCTCAATGATCCCCCTCCCTCCCTCCTTCGCAAGACTGGCCCTCTAGCCCCTTCAAATTGTGCCACTTTGACACCATGAGAAATAAGTGGACTCTAAACTGGAGGTAATGATATGAAGTAAAAGATGAAAGTCTGCACCTCTTAGAAAATGCTGTTAGGTCACTTGTACAAATATGGAAATCACTTAAATATAATGGCTACAGCTATAGCATCAATACTTTGTGGTGCCTCTTCCTTAAGTGACCTAAGCACTTGCTTTGAGTACTTGACAGTTCATTTAGCACTGCCTTAAACAAATTTAATATGAATAATAAATGTATCAAAAAATAATATTACATAATTATAACTCTCCCAAATCATTGAGGAAATGTTCTCACCTTGTAACAAATCAATATAACAGCCCAAAAGACACATGCACTTCATAATTACCTTATAAGTTTTGGTGAAACGGACAAAAATGGCAAAGAAGGTGTTTGGAGCCATACTTCTTGAGCTCTCTCCATAGTACTCTAAAACTTCTGCAAAGGCTGCTTGTGCTGTCTTGGCCTCCGCTTTCAACTGTGGGGTAAAAGTAAATGATTGTGAGGCCATAATCAATTTCCTTCTTGCTATAATATACTATCAATCAAGTTTGAAAATTCTAAAAGACTTAAAAAAACAGTTCATCTGCTACAAATGTTAAACAAAAATGCCATCTAATCAAGAAATACTAAAAATTCTTTCTTTCTTTTCTCTTCCTATTATCCCTAACTAAAACTAATTCCAAAAGTCATCTTTCACATAATAATTTCCCTTTTTCTATTGACTTTTTACATGTTAAACTCGATAGTTAATTGTAAGATCAGTTTTACAGAAAAATACATAATGAATTTAAAAAATAAATAAAAAATAAAAATAAAAACTGAGTCCTATTTACTTCACAGAAAAAATGGATGCATGCTATTCTTATAAGACCAACTTGCTCAACTTACTTTTTTCAACTTTTCCTCTGAATTACTCAAGAAATCCTTGAGCACACCAGATGCAGCCTGCCCCTCCATACTCCTCATGTCTCTTCCTCGTTCATATTCCTTCTTTGCTTGCTCCATACCCTTTTCTAGCTCACTGACATCTGTGATGATATTCTCCAGTGATACTGAAAACAGTACATTTTGTTAGCATGTGTTATTCAGATATTTATACAGTCATAAATATCTACATATACTTCAGGTGATTAATTCTGATCATATTCCAAAATGAGACACTTACAATACAGTCACACACACACACAGGCACATGCACACGTAGTTATACAAGCACACATACACACATGTACACATACAAACACACCACATGCATACACACATACTCACACTCAAATATTTATATATAAATATATTAATATTCATATATATCAAGTACAATATATCTGTTGCAAAAGGTAGTTTAAAAGATATAAAACAAGCAAGCATGCCACAAGTCTTAATTCCAGATTTAGATATTTGTAATCAATATTTTGGTTAAAATTTTCTCTTTTTTGACTATACAGTATGTTTCTGAAGCTTAACCCCTTGGTTCCATCACAAAAAAAAAAATCTGGCTACAGATCTGATGACTTGAATACACCATCATGGAAAAATCTGGTCGACCTCCAGGGTGACATGAATATAGCACCATGAAAATTTTTACAGAAGACTGGGGTGATGGGAATGACTCCCCACAAGTACACATAGCTCTTGGGTAGTGATTAAGCCAAGTACAAATTTAGGAAGGGGCTCTTGCATTAATTTGCAATGGTAAATGAGTGTGGAATGCACCATCCATAAGCCATGACTGGAAGAGCGCTGGCTCCAGGGAGGATGCTAAGTTCATGTTCAGGATCCTATTCCTGGCCTCTAAGACTAGAAGAGTATGGCATGTTACATATAATTTAATATTACAAAAATATGTAAAAAGTACACAAATAATAAAATGCTACTTTAAATTATTGTTACTGCATAGTTATAAACACCCTAGGGAGGCAAGGACTCTTGACTCATATGGGCTGGCCCTACAAGCCACAAATCAAGGCACCCAGACCCAACGGGTTAACAGAATTTATTCAATGGAATTATCAATTCCCATGCACACTAAAAATACTCTCCAGATCATGAACATACTACACAAACTTCAGGCAGGATGTAGTAGTAGCACAACACCTAAATTGACAAATTTAGTCGGTTTCAAATAATATCATGAAATGCACTGATCATGTATCAAAAGAAAAAAAGGACACAAAATCTTTACAATTAATGCCACAGACTTAAAAATCTTTAAATAAATATATATATATATATATATATCGTCAAGCACAGAATACCTCTCTGTTTATGGTCCCAATCTACAAAATAAAGTGAAGCCATTGTTGTTCTACTCACCCTGTGCAGCCTTTTCAATAAACCTTAGTTCTGCATCAAAATTATTGATATCTGGGAACTTCGCTCTCATGGTTTCCTGAATGTAATGCATCACACTCATCTTTTTGTCTGCTGACTTTGTATCACACAAAGTATCCAGACTTGAAAGTTTGAAGCCATAAGCTGGACCACGTTTGCTGCTATTCATGTAGTTACCTTAATAAATGAAAGAAATTACCAAAGTGTGTTAAACTTTTGAAATGGGAGCAATTTATATCAATGAAAAATTAATAGCTGTATTCCATAATATCTGATAATAAAGCATGATATCCCATGTATTTGAATTTTCACTCTCACACCCCATAATAATATATACTTACCAAAAGCAAGGATTACTTCAAGTACTTTTTTCAACTTGTTACTATTTCTAACTGAGCGTGATGCTGTGATGATAGCATGAACTTGCTGTTAGGGAAGGGAAAACAAGTTTATAAGACATATTTACACATCTTAGAAAAAGTGAAACAGAAAAAATAATGATAATAATACTATAGGATTGTTTTTCCATCTTTTTTTTACACAAGTCCTTTCAAGTTTTCTTCATACTTACTGGGGTGACAGTATGTACACTGTCAAAGAAGTTGGCAATAAAGCTCATAATCTGTAGTTTGGTACTCAATCTGTCCACCTTGCTGAGCTGAAGCATGTACTGGTCTTCATCTGTCAGCTGGCTCACAGGTTTACGATCGCGTTCGTATTCACGATATGCCTTGACCTGGTAATGAAAAAATTATTTTTATAAAAGATATATTCTGATAATATCTCAGAATGCATTATGATCATAACAAATACTGCATATGAATCTTAGTTGATATTGATAGACTAAGCACACAGTACGAATTTACAGTTTGTTTTTTTTAATTTGCCAAATTTTTTCAGTTTCTTTTAATGAAAATAAAGCTCCTTTTTCACTCTAACTGAAGTCTCTTCCAAATATCAACAAAACTTCTTGCATTCTAATGCCCTTTGCAAACATACAAACAACTTAATTTGATTACTTTCTAGAGATACATCTGAAGAGTCCAACTAAATTGTACAAAACAATTGGGCGGTAAATGATCACCCTTACCTCTGAATCGTTGCGGTATCATGCGTTGTAGGAGTTCCATCACTCTACACTCAGTGTTTTCAAATCTCAATGAATTGATGGCTCTTGCTAAACAATATCAAATGGCAGATCCAGTTTTCGGCCTGGACGATTGCTGAGAAGATAAAGAAAGGAGCAAAGGGTTCACAGTTAACCTTAAGTAGGCCGACTGGTGATTAGCAATTACAGTCCAATATGTTTCCATCTTATTGGACTGTCATCAAAAAAAATTTATATTTAGCAATTTTTGACATTTACATTGACAGTTTCATTCGGAGACATGACATGACACCACATACGTTTCATCATGCACAGTATATTATGGTCAGTGAATATATTGAGCAAACATTTGTTATATATGACACTCATATATATCTTTATTTTATTATCACATATATCATACTAGTTATCCATATATATGTCACAATATTATATCAGCATACCTATATATCACGACTTATTTTATAACAGTAATAATGATATTATATAGTAATTCTTATATATGTATTTCTCACTATATATTGGCTTGGTAAATTATATGTAATATATATCTTATAGGTAATGTAGCGTTATGAGAATTTTAACACATAATTTATCACATATATAACATATAGTCGTATAATTAGCTTCATATTATCGATAATCGGCTACACTATTCACTTACTATTTATATATAGATATTATTATTAAATATATATTGTCATTCACTATTATACATACTATATTTATACATTACCTAAATCAAATACGAGTATTACTATTACTACTACACATTATATCAATATATATTTACATTTATTAGGTTCCTCATGAGAGCTCACCGTGGTATACAGTGACTATTATTCTGGCATCATTATACAACGCTTTATAGATATATACTATAAATAATTGTATTATGATTAATATACATAAGTCAGCAGCAGATGAGTGGATTAGTATATATTTACCATATATAATAAGATATACATACTGAGGCGATAGTTCCATTAAATATTATAATATACAAATTAATAATATATTACTATTGCTGCAGACAAGTTTATTATAATATATTAAAGTCAGCACATATTGATGAGAAATAGTAGATAACCACATAAATAGGCTTACTAAATCATTTAATATTACTATATATAAGATAGGAGGACCATAACAGAGAGGTATTCTGTCTGTAATAGATATATAATATTATAATATATTATATATTTTATAAAAGATTTTATTCTAGTATGTTACTAATTTATTGATATATAAGTAGAAATATTTATGTGTCCTTTTATTTTCATATATTATGAATACATAGTACAGTAGCTATAATATTTTCACAATGAATTAATATTATATATTAATATAAACCGACTAATAAATAATTTATATTAGCTAATTTATATAAGTGAGTGTATGTATGCATTAACTTATAAATACTTATTATAACATCTACTGCGAATATATTATATAATTGTTAGTGATTAGTAAAATGTATTACCTAATGAATATAGTGAAGTATATAGTTTAGTGTATGCATGGGATAATGTGAATTAATACTACATTATATTGAATATAATACTATGATTATAATACCTCACGTAGGGGTATCCGGTGCTTGTGAATATATTTATGATATTTGACTATTTGGTAGGCTATATAAATATAGCCCTTATGATAGTTATTACGTAACAGCCTTATAGCTACTCTACCAACGGGGTTTATTATAATTTCACAGTAAATACATAAAACATATATATATATATTATATATATATATATGATATAATATATATTTAATAGTTAACATATATTTAATTTATATATTGTTTATTTTATATATCACATCAGCTACATAGAGTCATAGCTATATATAATATATCTATTATATAATAAAATTCCCAACACTCACAACACTCTCATAGACTACATACTTAGCCTACTAGATAAGGTACACTAGCTGTCATCAGCATGTACTGCACAATGTGTAATACTCAACCAGCTCGTGTGTCCATCCAAGGAGGTTAATTAGCCGAGCTCTTCGAATCTCTTGCTCCCAGAGAGACCCATGGAGAGTGCGTCCAACCTCTGAGAATCCCCATTCGGACCAGTCTCTCAGGCTCACGCTTCCGTATTCCGAATTACTAAAGTTGTCTCACCTATCGACATAGTTTAGAAGTCTATCCCCGACTAGTCTCAAAATGAGCACAATCTCTATCGTGCTCAAGATTTCCGTTCGATAGACTCGTATCCTACTCACTATCAGTATAGCGATGAAAATTATAGGGTAGTGATGTAATGCACCAATCTTAACAAAACTTGTTGGATAACTCACACAGATGATACATGACTGACAACAATTGTTGCAGGTAATGTTAAATGGGATAGTTGCTATTTTGTTTCTTCCATACCCAATACCCCATAGCACATCTCTCCTGAATAGTATTGCTCTTGTGCCGGAAATCATATCAATAACATATCAGCATGGATCTCAGGTATTGAGTCGCTTTAGATGACAAGTTAATGGAGCTAAAGATTAGTATCCTACAGTCACACGGATGACTGATCGAATCGACAATGGCCTCATGTGTATTTGTCTTTCTAGTTTTACCTAAAAAAATGGGCTTAGCTCTTCCAACCAAATAGGATTCAAAACAAATGATCCCATCATAGTATAACTCAAATCAAATATCTTTTGATATGTTATTGTTATGAATAGGCAAACTCTACAAACTTCCGGCATAAAAGAAGAAAAATCATACTATAGAGAATCAAAACTTATGCAGCGGGTTATACAAATAAATCAGCTTACTCTCTTAGGTTTCAGCCGAACCACAAGTTGTAGTGTCGAAAGTACTTTCTGTATTGGGTGATTGACTCTTCTTCTATGATAGGTCATGAATTTGAGATCCGAGCCGTTGGAGTAAGCCATAGAAGCACGCAGCCCTTGGCCATTGTGTGTATTGGTAGGTTATAATGCTGTGTTGGAGAGGAGGGAGCTTCTAAGCGCGGTCTCTATGCAACCGCAATATAATTGTACTTGAGAACTCAAAAACGGTAAAAACTTATGGGAGGTTAACAGGTTGGTACAACATTTAATCATACTAAATATTTGGGAAGGTGCGGAGATGTTACCTGTAATTGCAATAGTAGGTGGTGGTTTGTATGGTGGTAAATGTGTGTAAGTGTGTGCTTGGTTAATAGAAGTATTTGGTGCCGAGGGTTGCTGGTGTGGGTAGCTGGAACTGTATTGTAATGTCTCGAGAATTCCATGCGAATAATCGCATAGAAACCATTTAATCACTGAAAGTGATAGGGGGGAAGGTGGGTGGTGAGGGAGGTGGACGAGCCGGTCCACTGGCCCATCAAGGAGCTATCGCCTACATGATGAACACAATTATGCAATTAATTAACATTCTTAATGCATTTTTTCTGGTCTTAAAATATAGAGATTTTTAATCTAATGAATTCTTTTCATTATAATGAATTCATGATATACTAAATCATAGAAGAAAAAATGAAAAATATTTCAAGTATTACATTGAATAACTTTAGTGACATTGTCAAATAATCCCCTTACACATTATATTCAAATTTAAAGATAATGTATAAGTTGATTTTTGATTAGGTCACTAAAATTATTCTATGTAGCACTTGAAATATTTTTAAATTTCCCTTCTATGATTTCTTATTTCATGAATCTTTTAATTAAACTATAATTGTTCCATTTCACAATACTTAATCATTTCTTATAATAATCCTATCTACTTTTCTCAGTAATTCTCAAAAACATTACCTGTTCTTTGAGTTTTTGAGCGAGCAAGTGTTTCGAGTTCTACAATCTGTTTCTCCAATAATGACTGTCTTTGCCGCGACTCCTCACTCTTCTGGTTCACTTCCCTTCGTAGGGTTGATACTTCCTCTTGAACCTGAAGACAATTTTGATTAAAAAAAACATTTCAAAATCTGAATAGAGAGAATGTAATATTATTATTATCATCCTCCAAATAAAAATGAACAAAAATTCAACATGTTCTTTTTACATACCTGGCTATTAACGTTTTCCAATTCCTCTTTCTGCCTGCGTAACTCGACCAACTCTCCTTCCAGTTCTACTAGTTTAGCAAGTGATTCTGCTTCCATTTCAGACATCCTCTCTGCCAACTGTACCAATACAGAAAAAACAGAATTATTTACATGTGAATTTTTTAAAGCTATTAGCACTAATTTTTTGCTAATATTGAAAATATCACCTTCATTCTCTACCATTATGACATACAATTCATCATTACAATTGTATTACTGTATCTGTTATCTGCCATTCAAGTTACAATGATACAATAATTTTCAAGATATGCAAATTCATAAAATCAAAACCATTTGTTACAACTGCTCTACTACTCAATTAACTAATACATAACTGAAATGCAAAGTATAATCCAGCCAGTGATGATAGCTCTGATTTCAGCCCAATAGACTTACGTGTGAAAGTTCATCCTCCAGCTCTGCTACCCTTTCTAGCGCTGCTGTCTTTGTTTCGCTGTCTTCCATGAGTGCGGCTACATCAAACACATTGTCGAGGTATGCAGAAATTTGGATCTGAAAAAGGTATTCAAAATCGTTTTCAAAAATCTTTGAAGAGCATGTTGTTTGGACAATTCTAATAGTATCTCCCACAAGATTTTAATTTCAAAAATCATACTGAGAGCATTGCATAAAATCCAAAACTACAATTATATCCCAACATACACTAAACTATTGAGCTTCTAAACTATCAAGTAATATTCCTAAACAATAATTCCAGCAAATATTAATTCTCTATTTAGAAGTAAATGAGTATCCATGATTCATAATTTCATATTATTTTTACCTGTAATTCTTCACTTTCGTGGTGTCTTAGCTTTTCCAAGTAGTCATCGAGGCCAAGTTGTGTAAATTCATACTGCAGATGTACACGGAAGTTCATGTCCTCTACACTGTGTACCACAATGTTGATGAACTGCATACATGCCACCTAAAAAGAGAAAAAGAAAGAAAATACTTGTCAAACCTACATCATCATTTTTGTACTATCATCAAAATTGAGTGAATTACATGTATCTCCATATCCTATAATACATCAACTTTGTGACATTAAACAATTTTCAACAATATCAGACATATGATGAAAATCTAACACATTTTTTTTTTTTTTTCCCAACATAAACAGAAACTCACCATGAATTCAATGTAAAAACAGTCATAGTTTGAGAAGTAATTCATGAGTGTCTGGAAACGTTGCGTCTCAGAGCAGACATCCTTGAAGTTATTGAAGGCGTTGAGAATGATCTCATGCCCACCCTTCACTAGACAGATGGCTGCTAAGAGCTCTAGGACTAGTGCCTTTGTCCTGAAAATTAATAAACAAATGAATAACACTCATAATAAAAATCAATAAGAAATCAGATGATGGGGAAATGTAAGATAAGACAATCAAAATCTACATCACTATTTGTATCATTATTCAATTTTATCATAATTTCTTAGTAACCACATTTGTATATATTATAGCTCTCCTGCCAGAACTTTAAGCTTGTTGTCAGAACTTTAAGCCCTTTTATTTACAGAACC